CGCCGGTGCGGCAGCGGCGAAAGCTGCGGCCGACAGCGCCGAGCGCGCCGCGGCGGCGACGGTGTGCCAAGATGCGCCACCGTCCAGAACCGCCCGACCCGCCGCCGTTACCAGCGGCGCGAGGTCCTGGGCCGTGAGAGCTCCTCTAGCCAACGCGGTTCCCGCCATCCAAGGTCGGCGGCCGAGGTGGGCGTGCAACCGCTTGAGCTACAATGGCTGAAGCCGAAATGGCGACGGAGTAGTGGTAATAAAAAATAGCAGAAGTGGTGTTAATTGTAATCGTATTATTAGTAGTACTAGTTGTTGTAGCAGTCGTAGTAGTCCTCGTATTATTATTATTATTATTAGTAGTCGTCGTCGTCGTCGTCGTCGTCGTCGTCGTCGTCGTCGTCGTCGTCGTCGTCGTCGTCGTCGTCGTCGTCGTCGTCGTCGTCGTCGTCGTCGTCGTCGTCGTCGTCGTCGTCGTCGTCGTCGTCGTCGTCGTCGTCGTCGTAGTAGTAGTAGTAGTAGTAGTAGTAGTAGTAGTAGTAGTAGTAGTAGTAGTAGTAGGAAAAGTAGTAGTAGGAAAAGTATTATTATTATTAGTAGTAGTAGTAGTAGTAGTAGTAGTAGTAGTAGTAGTAGTAGTAGTAGTAGCAGTAGTAGTAGTAGTAGTAGTAGTAGTAGTAGTAGTAGTAGTAGTAGTAGTAGTAGTAGTAGTAGTAGTAGTAGTAGTAGTAGTAGTAGTGGTAATAGTAGTAGGAGTAGTAGGAATAGTAGTAGTAGTAGTAGTAGTAGTGGTGGTGGTGGTGGCGGCGGTAGTAATGGTAGTGCTAGGAGTGATAGTAGCAGTAGTAGTAGTAGTAATGATAATACTCGCATTAGTGGTAGTAGTAGTAGTAGTAGTAGTAGTAGTAGTCGTAGCAGCAGTAGTAGTAATAGTAGTAGTAGCAGTAGCAGTAGTAGTAGTAGTAGTAGTAGTAGTAGTAGTAGTAGTAGTAGTAGTAGTAGAGATAGTAGTAGTAGTAGTAGTAGTAGTAGTAGTAGTAGTAGTAGTAGTAGTAATAATAGTACTAGTAGTACTAGCAGTACTAGTAGTAGTAGTAGCAGCAGCAGCAGTAGTAGTGGTAGTAGTAGTAGTAGTAGTAGTAGTAGTAGTAGTAGTAGTAGTAGTAGTAGTAGTGCTCGTAGTAATAGTGGTGGTGGTCGCACTAGCGGTAGTAGCATATGCGGGCGGACAAGCTCAAAGAGAAGAACATCGTGGTGCTCTATCCCACGGACCTGCTGCAGTACCTGTCTAAGGTGGAGCCCCTGGCGGTAGGCAGTGTGTTCAAGATGCATGCGCCTGGGGAAAAAAACAGTGGGAGGGGCATTGGGCGTTGATGGACAACCTCTCGTGGGACGACCTGCCCGAGTTTAACTGGCGCGACCTCTATGCGCAGGTGGCATGGGGACTGAATGACCCTGAATGATGGGCGGGCTACAGCAAGAAGACCAGGAACAAGAAAAAACGCGAGAATATCGCCGAGGCAAAAACCGCCGTGCTGAACTACGAGCAGCGCCGCAAGCTGGCCGTCGGTAGCCTTGCTGGCGGGGGGAGCGCATGGGGTCGCCCCGAGTGTTCCCTCCGCTGGCGGGCCGGCGACGGACCTGAGGATGGATGCTGCAAGGGAAGAGGGCCCGCCGCCGCCACCCACACCTGCGGCGCTGACCAACGTGGAGGTGCCGCCGCCGCCGCCGCCTGTGGGCCCACCGCCAGACTTCGAGTCTGAGCTGTTTGGCCCCATGGTGGAGGGCAGTGAGTGGGGCGGGACGGCTCGTGCGCTCCCATCGGAGGTCTTATGCCCCAGGGCCTCCAGGGTCCATATGAGTGAGTTGCTGCATGCCTGCGCAGGCTTTGTGTACCACCTCAGGGCCGCGTCAACTTTAGGAATCACTATGGCGCACCAGCTCGTGGCTGGCTGAGGCTCTACCGATGCCTCCCTTTGCGTTCCCGCGTTACTCTGTGGTTCTAGGGCAACCCCGAGGGCTGCGGGTTCTTGGCTTCGCGCCCGTGTTGCCTTCGGTACTTCAGCTAAGTGACCAGCCATTTTGGCTTGCCCCATCCTGTATCTCGCTGTAGGCTCTTGCCACCTGGGGCCTCCAGAGCTACATGGGGTCGGGCGGTACTGGGGTCGCCCCGCGCGCTGCACTTCCCGCGGTCGTTTTGGACCAGGTCTGTCTTGGTACACCTTGGCTGCCACACTGCAGCTCCGTCAGTCCGCGGTCGCACTCCGCCTTGATTTGCACCCAACCTGGCGCATGCTTCATTGTATGGTAATGAGGCAGCCACAGGACGCTCGCCCCAACGTGGTCGAATCGTGGTGATGTGGTGCACGTGACCGCAAGCAGTAGTAGTAGTGGTAGTAGTGGTAGTAGTAGTAGTAGTAGTAGTAGTAGTAGTAGTAGTAGTAGTACTACTACTACTACTAGTAGCAGTAGTAGTAGCAGTAGTAGTAGCAGTAGTAGTAGTAGTAGTAGTAGCAATAGTAGTAGTACTAGTACTACTACTACTATTAGTACTAGTGCGAGTACTAGAAATAGTAGTCGTCGTAGTAGTAGTAGTAGTAGTAGTAGTAGTAGTAGTAGTAGTAGTAGTAGTAGTAGTAGTAGTAGTAGTGGTAGTAGTAGTACGTAGTAGTCGTACTTCCCGTACTAGTACTGGTAGTAGTAGTAGTAGTCGTCGTCGTAGTAGTAGCAGTAGTAGTAGTAGTAGTAGCAGAAGTAGCGGCAGTCGTAGTCGTGGCAGAAATAGTAGTAGTAATAGTAGTAGGAATAAGAATAGTAGTAGTAGTAGCAGTAGTAGTAGTAGTAGTAGTAGTAGTAATAGTAGTATTTGTAATAATAGTAGTAGTAGTAGTAGTAGCAGTAGTAATATTCATAGAAAGTAATAGTAGTAGTAGTAGTAGTAGTAGTAGTAGTAGTAGTAGTAGTAGTAATAGTAGTAGTAGTAATAGTAGTAGTGGTCGTAATAGTAGGAATCGTAATAGTAGTAGTAGTAGTAGTAGCAGCAGCAATAGTAAAAGTAGTAGTAGTAGTCGTAGTAGTCGTACTAGTAGTAGTAGTAGTAGTAGTAGTAGTAGTAGTAGTAGTAGTAGTAGTAGTAGTACTTGTAGTAGTAATAGGAGCAGTAGTAGTAATAATAATAGTAGGAGTAGTCGTAGTAGAAGTAGTCGTAGCAGTAGTAGTAGTAGCAGTAGTAGTAGTAGTACTAGTAGTAGTAGTGGCCGGCAATATTAGTAGAAGTTAAGTCGTAATAATAAAAGTAAGAGTAAGAAAAGTAGTAGTAGTAGTAATAATAGTAGTAGCCGTCGTCGTGTTAATACTAGTAGCCGTAGTTGTCGCAGTGTAGTAGTAGCGGTTGTAGTAGTGGTAGTAGTGGTAGTAGTAGTAGTAGTAGTAGTAGTAGTAGTAGTAGTAGTAGTAGTAGTCGTCGTCGTGGTCGTCGTTGTCGTAGGCGTAGTAGTAGTCGTAGTAGTAGTGGTGGTGGTCGCACTAGCGGTAGTAACAATAGTAACAGTCGCGGTATTAACAGTAGCGATCGCAGTCGTAATGGTAATGGTAGAGGTAGTAATAGTAGTCGTCGTCGCAGCACTGGTAGTAGTAGTAGTCGTAGTCGTAGTCGTCGTAATGGTTGTGGTGGTACTAGTAGTAGTAGTAGTAGTAGTAGTAGTAGTAGTAGTAGTAGTCGTAGTAGTAGTAGTAGTAGTAGTAGTAATAGTAGTAGTAGTAGTAGTAGTCGTAGTAGTAGTAGTAGTAGTAGTAGTAGTAGTAGTAGTAGTAGTAGTGTAGTAGTACTGGTGGTAGAAGTAGTAGTAGTAGTAGTAGTAGTAGTAGTAGTAGTAGTAGTAGTAGTAGTAGTAACAGTAGTACTAATAGTAGTAGGAGTAGTAGTTGTAGTAGTAGTAGTGGTAGTAGTAGTAGTAGCAGTAGGAATAGTAGGAGTAGTAGTACAAGTAGTAGTAGTAGTAGTAGTAGTAGTAGTAGTAGTAGTAGTTGTAGTAGTAGTAGTCGTAGTAGTAGTAGTAGTAGAATAGTAGGAGTAGTAGTAATAATAGTAGTAGTAGTAGTAGTAGTAGTAGTAGTAGTAGTGGGGATGGATAGTAGTAGTAGTAGGTAGTAGTAGTAGTAGTAGTAGTAGTAGTAGTAGTATATTAGTAGTGGTGGTGGTGGTGAGTGGTAGTGGTAGTGGTAGTGGTAGTGGTAGTGGTAGTGGTAGTGGTAGTAGTAGTAGTAGTAGTAGTAGTAGTAGTAGTAGTAGTAGTAGTAGTAGTAGTAGTAGTAGTAGTAGTAGTAGTAGTAGTAGTAGTAGTAGTAGTAGTAGTAGTAGTAGTAGTAGTAGTCGGAGTCGTAGTGCTAGTAGTTGTAACAGTAGTAGTAGTAGTAGTAGTAGTAGTAGTAGTAGTAGTAGTAGTAGTAGTAGTAGTAGTAGTAGTAGTAGTAGTAGTAGTAGTAGTAGTAGTAGTAGTAGTAGTAGTAGTAGTAGTAGTAGTAGTAGTAGTAGTAGTAGTAGTAGTAGTAGTAGTAGTAGTAGTAGTAGTAGTAGTACTAGTACTCGTAGTAGTAGTAGTAGTAGTAGTAGTAGTAGTAGTAGTAGTAGTAGTAGTCGTCGTAGTCGTAGTCGTAGTAGTGGTAGTGGTAGTGGTAGTAGTAGAAGTAGAAGTAATAGTAGTAGTGAAGGATGTTGTAGTGGTGGTAGTAGTGGTAATGGTAGAGGTCGTAGAAGTGGTAGTGGTAGTGGTAATGGTCCTGGGGTCGATCGCTCTCTGTTTGCGCCCCGAATTGCCTGGAATCCTGCGGCGCTGAGAAGGGAGAAGATGCGGAATGGAAGCGCGCAGCCGCGGGCGTCAAGGCGTGAGGGACGCCAAAGGACCCTCCTCGCTTCGAGGGGGGCGGAAGAAACTTCCGCTCGGCACCAGGGTGCGGAAGAGCACCTGAGCGGTCCCTTGCTGTCCCTGGCAAAGGCGCGCTAAGCGGTCCGCGAGAGAAGCGCTCTAAGAGGGACTTCACGATGGCGATAGCGCTGGTGTCCAGCTGCGTGGTGACGCCCTTGCAAGCCGCCTTCGACCTTAAGCGCCGATGGAGGCAGCACGTAAATCCCAACAATCAGAATGCACGAAGCTGAATTCGTCTACCTTACACTCGCCCACATGCGTGACTGCATTAAGGAGCCTCTTGACTGCTGATGCGATGTTGAACTCAACTTCAAAATATATTCCAGTCTGAAAGACGAAGGCGGCATTTCCGACACTGTTGAAGCAGCTGGCACGTCCAGCAGAAAGCACTGCTGATCTGACAAAGTTCCACCACCGTGCCCCCTTAGCAAAGTCAGCGTCGTGTAATGCTAAGTGCTGTCTGCTAGGGACCTCCCCTTTCATGCAGCACCCGCCTTCCTGCCCCCCCCCTTCGGGTCGAGCGAAAGGAGGGGATAGCAAAGGGGGGGTTTGAGAATCAGCTCACGTAGCTGATTTTCCCGGCGCTTCCCGGCGCCGGAGGCGGCCATGTATCGAGGAATGGGCCACTCGGTGAGGCCGAAACCAGCTGCATGCAGCAACTTTCGTAACCCCCCTTCCCCAATCCCCCAGTTTTCGCCCGGCCCGACCCCTACTCCAGATTTCGTAAGAAAGGGAGGGGGGTCTCATTTCGGGAGGGGGGTCTTTTCCAGGCTATCTTGGAGGGCCTGGGGGGTCTTGGGACGATGTTTTCCCCCCGCACAGCAGCACCCTCGGGCCGCCGATCGCGACGCCGATCACACCCCTCCCGTCCTACCTACTCTCATGCGGTTCGGGGGACAGGCGCTCTCCGCCGCGCCATCGCCCCAAGAGCACCAGCCGTTGCGCCCCCGAGGACGTGCTACCGCAACTCCCAGAGGCTTGGGCCAAGAGACATAGGGCGACGAGATCTATGCATATCCACTGCTCCTGGCCAGGCCAATCCTGGGCCCAGGAGCGGTGTATACGCCCTCCTGGCCTGGCCAGGGAGGCATATACACAGCTCCTGGGCCCAGGATGGGCCTGGCCAGGAGCAGTGGATATGCATAGATCTCGTCGCCCTAGAGACAGGGAAATGCAAGCGGCACCGTGCGCACCCAGGGATGCAACACCTTCAGTCCCTGCTCCGCCCAGGCCGAGCCGATTCGGAGCTACGGCAATCCCACCGTAGCAGCGACGGGTTCCCCTTAGACACCCCCACGCTCAGGGTCCTCCTGGTGGTGATGATGCTCCAGCTGCGTGAGCCCCGAGCGACGCTATGGCCGTTCCCGCACCCTGAGGCCACGGGGGACGTCATCGAGGCTGCCATGGGCCTCTGCCTGCCCTGGAAGGACGTCCACAAAGATTACAGGGCAGAGTTCGCAGCGGCCTGGGGCTTCGACTTGAGTGCCCTCGCATCCCTCCACGGGAAGATGGAGGACACCATCAAGCACATCAGCACGCTCGCCACCTTTGCCCACCACCACACGGTCGCGACCAACCATGGGTGCCCAAAGACGTGGACAGGGATGCAGGACTATAAGTTCACCCTGGAAGCCCCCATGCGGGTGCTGAAACCGGCCGACATCAAGTCCCTGGGCAAGGGAAGTTGCTCTATCTGCACACTGCACAAGGAGCTCAGTGGATCAGAGGACGGACTTGGCCGCCCAGACACAATGGCAGACCTACAATACATCGGCGGAGGAATCGCCATGTCCAACAAGCGCCTCGACGAGGGCCCCCCTGCATCCCCGGCCCCCGGCACGGTGCTCAACCTCCCCACGGTCAGCGACGACAGGTTCCTCACTAGGCAGCAGGGCGGCAGCTGCGACTGCGACGGGTGCTCGAACGTGGGACTCCAAGGCACGGCAGGTACCTGGGAGGACGACGACACAAGAGAGCTGCTGGCACAGAACCGCTCCCAAGCGTACTTGCAGGGCCGAAGCTGCAGGTGGCTATGCTAGCAGTGCTGGATCAAGTCGCTGGAAAAGGAAGGCATCGAGGCCCCCCTGGCCGAAAGCAAAGACCTCTGCGCCGAGAAGTCGCTACAGCAGCGCCTACAGGCGTACAAGCGCAAACTGGACGAGGCTCGCGACCGAAGGAGAGCCCGTGCCCTCCCCCCCTTGGACCGGCTCCAAATTGGGCATGGGCAACCGGTCACCGCTCAGCTCCCCGCCTGCCTGGGTGACCTCGTCATGAACACCCCGCCCGCCTGCCTGCCTCAGAAGGTCGGCGACGCCCTCCCAGCTCACAAGCTGTCTGACGGCAGGTTCGGGCCCGACTCGCACCGCACGAACACCTACACCGCCATGTGCGACACCTGCCCCACGGGGTCGCCACTGCTCGTGTGGGCGGCAGGCAGCCCCGCACTCGGCTGCTTCATGTGGCGCCCGGAGCCAGGCGCGCCGCGCAATGAGGAGACAGGGCTCCCACCCTGGGACGACATGGGCCCCAACAACAATATGACTCCCAAGAAGGCCCAAAAACGCCAAATAGAGAACGATCGGTAACGCAAAAAGCTCTTCACGCCAAGGCTCCCAAGAGCGAACGGTGACGTAAACAAGCTGATAAGACCAAGGCTCCCAGCAGAGAGCGGTGACGTAACAAGTTCCTGACACCAAGGCCCAGCCAAGGCTCAGGAACGGGCGGCAACGCAACAATCTCTGAACACCAAGGCTCCCAAGAGCGAGGGGTGACGTAAGAAACTCTCAGCGCCAAGGCCCCCAGTACGAACGGTGGTGTGAGTAATTTCGGTTTCTGTTTCTGAAGCGTTCTTTCCGTTTCTGCGCTGGGCCAGGTACTAGTAACGGAAAGAACGAGGTACGAGTGATAACGTTCTGGTGTGGGCGAAGCCCTAAAGGGAGGGGTTCCAGAGGAGGGGAGTAGGGTGCGCAATTGCGTGTTAATTGCCGTTTTCGGGTTTTCCCTTGGGTTTTTGCATGTTTTTCGGGTTCCCCCCCAAGACGGCCCAAGAGCGCTCCAAGAGAGCCCAAGACCGCCCAAGACGGCCCAAGAGGCCCCCAAGAGGCGGCCCCCAAGAGGCACCCAAAGGGCGTCCCAAGAGGGCCCCAAGATGCCGAAATCATCGATTTTCCAAAAGGAAAGCGTATACTTTTAGCATATGCGCTTTGTCGGGTTTCACGGCGTTGACGACGCTCCAAAAGGCCCCCAAGACCGCCCCAAGACGGCCCAAAAGGCTCCCAAGAGGCCCCCAAAACGGCCCAAGAGGGCCCCAAGACGGCCCAAGAGGCGCTCAAGACGGCCCAAGAGGGCGCCAAGACGGCCCCAAGAGGGGGACCACGAACCGGAAAGTCTAGCCTTTCGCCCCAAGACGCCCCCAGGATGCCCCCAGTGCCCCCAGAGCCCCCCAAGAAACCCCACGAGGCGTTCCAAGAGGCCACCGACGAAACCCTGACAAAGAAAAAGGAGGGGAAGGGAGAAGAGAGGAAAAGGATTCGGAGAAGGATCATCGGGATGAGCACGGGCACGGACCCCCCGTGGCCCAGGGGCCCAGGGCCCCCCGAGACCCCCTCGCCCGCCGCCCGACTACTTCTCTCCAGCGTGGACTGTGCCCACGCGCCACAGGGAGGAGAAGGCCGACTGCACGTTGGAGGTGATGCGCAAAGAGTACGAGTTCGAATTCGCCCTGGGCGGCACCAGGAAGGTCGTCGTCCACTTCTGGTGCTATTGGCTCGCCGCTGTCAACGGTGGCGACAAGTCCTGCCGCTTCCTGTCCAGGCCCGAGTTCGAGGCTGAGGTCACCAAAGCGAGTGAGGACGAGTTCAAGAAAAGTACCCCCGACCCCATCATGGATGCCCAAAAGGAGCGCAGGCAGAAACAGAAATCTGGCACTGCGGGCAAGAAGCACCTCATGATGTAGGTGAATGTGTGAGTTGTGAGGGTCTCAGGGCCTAGTGGCCTAGTGACGTGTAGGATGTCGGCTTGCGGGCCGTCGGGCGGGCCCCAGGCTGGCCTCGACGGCCGGGGACAGATGAACACGGCACTGCAAATCATCAAACATGGGGTAGAGGCTATGACAAAGGGAAGGGGGAGAGTGGTGAGGACGCTGGGAAGAGTCAAGAGGAGGAGGAGGAGGAGGAGGAGGAGGAGGAGGAGGAGGAGGAGGAGGAGGACGAGAGGAGGGGAGGGAGAGGAGTAGGAGAGGCGGAGGAGGAAGAGGAGTCGGAGGCCTGAGGAGGGAGTTAGGAGGAGAGGATGAGTTCGGCCTCTGTTTCTGGCCGCGGGCTCGCGCTCTGCACTGCTTTTCCCTCCTCCTCCTCCTCCTCCTCCTCCTCCTCCTCCTCCTCCTCCTCCTCCTCCTGCGAAGGCCGCGGCGCGGGTCCCTTTGCCGCCGCGCCCGCGCTTGCGCCCGCTCTGAGCTCCAGGAGCGTCGCGACGACACCTCCCGAGCGGGGTGCGGGCAAGCCCGGACCCCGCTCGGCTAGTCGTCCAGCTCCTCCAGCTCAGTCAGCGAGCGGCGCCCCGGCGCAGCCCGGCGCCGCAGCAGCCCGCCGCGGCAGCCCGCAGCTCGGCGGCCCGGCCGGCGCCGTCCACCCCCCGCCGCCGGGCGCGCCGCTTCCGCCGCGCTGGCGTGGGGCGCGCGCCGCGCCGCCGGGCGCCGCCGCGGCCGCCGCCGCCGCGCGGCGGTTGCCGCCGGTGCCGCCGCGCCTCCAGCCCCGCCCCGGGCAGCCGCCGCCGCCGCCGCCGCGCGTCTGCCAGAGCGCCGGCTCCGTCCGCCTGGCGGCCGCGCCCAGCTGCAGCGCCGCCCCCGCAGCCGGCGCCGCCCGCGCAGCCCGCCGCCGCTGCCCAGCGCGCCGCGCCCGCCGCAAGCGCCGCCGCCGCCCGCCGAGCGCCCGGCGTCGTCAGCTCCAGCTGCCCCTGCGCCCGGGCGCGGCGCGTGCGCCGCGCCCTGCGCGCGCCTCAGCAGCAGGCCGCCCCAGCGCTCAGCGCCTCAAGGGGCGCGGCCGGGCGCGCCGCCCCAGTGGCCACACCGAGGCGTTGTGCGCCTCGGCGTTGGCCCGCTGCAGCGCGGCGGCCATGCTCTGGCGCGCCGCCGAGAGCACAGCCGCGTCGCCCGCCGCCCAGGTGCGCGGGAGGTCCTGCGCCTCGCGCCCAGGCCGGCCCAGCGTCTCCAGCGCGAACGCGCGCAGCGCCGCGCCAGGGTAGCGGCGGTGCTTGCGCTCCTCCGCAGCGGCCGCCGCGGCCCCGTTGCGCCAAGCCCTGCCCCGCCCCGCCGGCGTCGCGGCCCCGGCTGCAGCGTCGGCCACCACGACGTCCACGTACGCGGTGCCGACGACCGGGCCCACGTAGGTCACGTCGAGCCGCGCCGCCTCCAGGCTGCCGTCCTGGCGGGTCCTGTCCCAGGCGGGGACGCGCTGCTCGGTGCCCACGCCCCTCGCCCCGCGCCCCTTCAGCCAGCGCGCGAGCCAATCGCGGATAGCGTTGTGGCGCGCTATCGTGCCCGCCCCAGCATGGCAGCCCAGGGGGTGAGTCGGGGCCCGCGCAAGGTCCGCTCCGCAGAGGTGCCCGTCGGCGCGGCGGCGCTGGCAGGTGGCGCAGGCGTCGGCAGGCCTTGGGAGGCGGAGGCGCAGCGCCAGCGCCGTCAGGTAGTGCTCGTCCGCCAGGCGGTGGTCGTCCTGCGTCGGCGGGAGCAGCCAGCTGCCGGCGCCTTTCCCGCTGGCCGAGCGGAGCTGGGCAGCCTGCTCTGGCGGCAGCCCTGCCAGGAGCCGCTTCCGGTTCTCGTCTCGTTCGTGGTGCGCGAGCGCCTTCTGTGCCTTGCGTTTCGGCTCCACCGCGGCCCGGTGCCACTCGCCGGCGCCAAGCCGGAGCTCGTTGCCCGCCCGCTCCGCCGCGCCCCAGAGTGCCGGGCAGCTCGAGGCGAACGCCGCCAAGCTGGCTTCGCCCGGCTCCCGCCGGACGTCTGCCAGGCAGCCGAGCCACGAGCCAGCGAAGGCGGCGAGCCGGCGTTGGGACATGCTGTGCAAGCCCACCCCGCCCTCTGCCAGGGGAAGAAAGAGCTGCGCCCGCGCGTCCGGCGGCAGAGGGCGCCCGAGCAAGCTCGCCAGGTGCCCCACCACATTGTTGTCGTAGTCCTGGCACCAGTCCTCGCCAAGGAGGTGCGCCCGCGCGTGGTGAAGCGCCGCCCCGTTCGCGAAAGTCCGGACGAGGACCACCTCGTCCTGCGCAGTGAGCCCGTGCGCCCGCAGGCCGCGCAGCTTCCCGAGGTAGGCGGTCAGGTGCTCGGTCGCTGCCGCGGGGGCCGCCGTCGGCAGGAAGCTCACCTTCGCTGAGTCTGCGCTCAGCCCTTCTGCCGCCGCTCCGCCGCGCACGAACGGCAGGAGCGACCCGAGGCACTGCATCTGCGGCACGACCTTCCCAGCCAGGGACGCCGGGAGCTGCAGACCCCAAGGGTTCCAGACCTGCGTTTTGTCGTCGTTCACCCTGAGGCCGACTCGGCCGAAGGCGGCGGGGGCGGCGGCGCACGCTGCCTCCAGCGCCACCGGCGTAGCCTTGAGGTAGCTGTCGTCCAGGTAGGCCAGCAGGCGCGCTTCTGGGTCGACGGCGGCCGCCGCTTCGAGAGCGAAGTACACGTCCGCCACGGCGACGGCGAAGAAGGCCGGCGACGGTCAAGGCCACGCTCCGCCCGCACCGGCTGGACGCTCCCTTCTGGCAGGTGGGCTCCGTGCGTCGTGGCGCGGCGCGGCCCGCGCGGGGGCCAGCGGAGCGGCGGAGCGGAGCCAGAGCCACGTCGGCGGCGCCTCCTGCTTTCTTCCTTCCGGTCCTCCTTTCCTTCGTTTTCCGCTCCTCCGCTCCTCCTTTTCCCTCTCTCCGCCCTTCCTTTTTCCTTTTCCCCTCCCCTCTTTTTTGGCTTCGCTCCTCCCGTCTTCCTTTCTCCCACTCCTCCACTCTACGCTCAGTCCCTCTCCCTCCGCCACTCTGCCACGTGATGTTGATGCGGGGCGCTCGCCCACGTATGAGGCCAGATGGAGGGGGGCAGGGCGTGGAGAGGAGGTGTCTTGAGTCACCGCAACCCCTTACTTTCACATCCCTACCTGTAGCCTCCTGGGGCCTCCTGGAGCCTGCTGGAGCCTGTAGCATCCTGGGGAGAATATGTGCCCACGAGTCTGGCCACCAAAACAGGCACACCGATCGAGACATCCTCAAAATCTGGCTACCCTGGGGGGCGAACATGAGCGCCTCGCTCGAGACATCTTCCAAATCTGCTCCGAAAGCGGAGGGCGTTGGGCATGCAAACAGGCAAACCGCTCGAGACATCCCCGCCATTGTGGCGCGAACGGAGGCCGTGAGATACCCCTGGCGGCCCCCCTTGGGGGTGCTGAAACCCGCGCCTCGCTCGAGACATCCTCGGAATTTGCTCCGCCATCATCATCATCATCATCATCATCATCATCATCATCATCATCATCATCATCATCATCATCATCATCATCACCACCCCCACCACCACCACCACCACCACCACCACCACCATCATCATCATCATCATCATCATCATCATCATCATCATCATCATCATCATCATCATCATCATCATCAGCATCAGCATCAGCATCAGCATCATCATCATCATCATGATCATGATCATGATCATCATCATCATCATCATCAGCATCAGCAGCAGCATCATCATCATCATAATCATCAGCATCATCATCATCATCATCATCATCATCATTATTGTCGTCGTCATCATCATCAGCATCAGCATCAACATCAGCATCAGCATCATCGTCATCTGCATCCTCATCCTCATCCTCATCAGCATCATCATCACACTCATCCATCATTCACCATCACCATCATACTCACATCATACTCTCACCATACCATGGTCATCATCATGACAATCATCATCATTGTCTAGTTCAGAGAGGGAGGAGTGGAGGGGAGAGGTCCGGCGCGGTCAGAGAATAGCAAGAATCCCATCCTTTGGATATGGGGAATAACCCCATCCTTTGGACATGGGTAAATATGTTCACAGACACGCATACATATACACATACACACGCTCGGGGGGGGAGGGAAGGAGAGGGAGCGAGGGAGGAGAGAGGAGCACAAGGGGGGAATGAGAAGGGAGGACGACGAGGGAGGAGAACGCGGACGGTGAGGAGGAGGGACGCAAAAGGGATGAAGGATGGGAGAGGGATACGGGAGAGATCTTCGAGGGATGAAGGACTGCCCCCCCCCGCTCACATCTCTCCCCCTGAAGCGCTGGAGACGAAGAGTGGAGGGAGGCAGAACAATCTAAGAAAATACCCTGGGGGGAACAAATAAGTACCGATACTGCTACTCCCCAGGCCTCTGCAGGGGTGCGTTCGGACCAGAACGAGGCGAATCCAGCCGTGGCGACGAGGTGGTAGCGATATTGGCACGTTTTCCTTCCCTGGATTCGAGAGCAAAACCAAAAAATTACGGAGCCCCCCGGGATGCGAGACCAGGAGGGCGAGGCAGGAAGAGGAGGGATCACCGCCACGGGGTGCCGTACCGAGCCGCGCGCCTGTCGTGCCCCAGGAACCGCTCCAGCTCCGCGAGCACACGCCCGGTGCGCTCGATCGAGCGCCGCATCGACCGCGCCGAGGCAGCTGATCTGGCCACGATGCCTCCCGCCAACCTCCCTGTTGGATCCGTCATCCATGGCCCAGCCCCCCTCGGGTCGCGAAGAACAAGACGGGAGGTTCTTTGGCTTGTTCTCGGGCTCGGGGTGCCCTCGCCAGGCCCCTGGATCGTCGAAGAACGACCCCGGGGTGAAAAGCCAGTCCCAGAGACGGGGTCGCTCTGAACACCAGATCATGACGTCGGAGGTCTGGGGAGAGTGGCTGAGCAGCACTGGAAGGCGACGAGTTGACAGAGGGTCCCGAGGATAAATTAGCCTGGCGAAGAACCCAACCATATGCAGTTGTCGGTACCGCAGCTGCGGGTTTCATCTTCAGTGGAACTCCCAATAGGACAACGGAACTTGTGAGTGGTGTGCCGAGATGGGTGCCACTGGGGCATTCGGTGAAGCTCCCTATGGGGACATGAAACATGCGCGGGGCGTGCCGACATGGGTGGCGGAAGCGCATGTGAGGGCCGCCACTGGGGCCTCCAGTGGAGCTCCCTATGGGTCCCCGAAACATGATGCTGCTGCGGGGGGGGTGCCGGGATGGGTGGCGGAGACGCATGTGAGCGCCGCTACTGGGGCCTTCGGTGGAGCTCCCTATGGGGCCACGAAGCGCGTGAGGGGTGTACTGGGATGTGTGGCGGGGACGCATGTGAGCGCCGCCACTGGGGCCTTCGGTGGAGCTCCCCATGGGGCCACGAAACGTGTGAGGGGTGTGCCGAATTGGGTGCGGGTGTTGACGCATGCGGGCGGTGCCACTGGGGCCTTCGGTGGAGCTCCCCAGCCACGAAACCTGTTGTTGAGGGGCGTGCCGGGATGGGTGGCGGGGACGCATGTGAGCGCGGCCGCTGGGGCCTTCGGTGGAGCTCCCTATGGGGCCACGAAACGTGTGAAGGGTGTGCCGAATTGGGTGGGTGTGGGTGACGCACGTGGGCGCCGCCACTGGGGCCTCCGGTGGATGGGAGCCACGAAACCTGTGAGGGATGTGCCGAATGGGTGTGCGGGACGCATGCGCATGTGAGCGCCGCCACTGGGGCCTTCGGTGGAGCTCCCTATGGGGCCACGAAACGTGTGAGGGGTGTGCCGAAATGGGTGTGGGGACGCATGCGGGCGGCAGCTGGGGCCTTCGGTGGAGCTCCCTATGGGGCCACGAAACGTGTGAGGGGTGTGCCGAAATGGGTGTGCGGGACGCATGCGGACGGCAGCACTGGGGCCTTCGGTGGAGCTCCTGTGGGGCCACGAAACGTGTGAGGGGTGTGCCGAAATGGGTGTGCGGGACGCATGCGGACGGCAGCCATGGGGCCTTCGGTGGAGCTCCCTATGGGGCCACGAAACGTGTGAGGGGTGTGCCGAAATGGGTGTGCGGGACGCATGCGGACGGCAGCGCTGGGGCCTTCGGTGGAGCTCCCTGTGGGGCCACGAAACGTGTGAGGGGTGTGCCGAAATGGGTGTGCGGGACGCATGCGGACGGCAGCCATGGGGCCTTCGGTGGAGCTCCCTATGGGGCCACGAAACGTGTGAGGGGTGTGCCGAAATGGGTGTGCGGGACGCATGCGGACGGCAGCACTGGGGCCTTCGGTGGAGCTCCCTGTGGGGCCACGAAACGTGTGGAGGGGTGTGCCGAAACGCATGCGGTGGGGCCTTCGGCGGAGATGGGGCCACGCGTGTGAGGGGTGTGCCGGACGCATGCAGCACTGGGGCCTTCGGCGGAGCTCCTATGGGGCCACGAAACGTGTGAGGGGTGTGCCGAATTGGGTGTGCGTGACGCATGCGGGCGGCAGCACTGGGGCATTCGGCGGAGCTCCCTATGGGGCCACGAAACGTGTGAGGGGTGTGCCGAATTGGGTGTGCGTGACGCATTCGGGCGGCAGCACTGGGGCCTTCGGTGGAGTTCCCTATGGGGCCACGAAGCGTGTGAGGGGTGTGCCGAATTGGGTGTGCGTGACGCATGCGGGCGGCAGCACTGGGGCCTTCGGTGGAGCTCCCTACGAAACGCGTGAGGGGTGTGCCGAATTGGGTGTGCGTGACGCATTGGGCCTTCGCGCATGCGGGCGGCAGCACTGGGGCCTTCGGTGGAGCTCCCTATGGGGCCACGAAACGCGTGAGGGGTGTGCCGAATTGAGTGTGCGTGACGCATGCGGGCGGCAGCACTGGGGCCATCGGTGGAGTTCCCTATGGGGCCACGAAACGCGTGAGGGGTGTGCCGAACTGGGTGTCGATGATGATGATGATGGGATGACGCTGACGCTGATGGGATGATGACGGCCATGATGATGTTGATGCTGATGGCGATGACGATGTGGTGGGAGGAGGGAGGAGGGAGGAGGGGGAGGAGGAGAGGAGAGGAGAGGAGAGGAGAGGAGAACGCGTGGCGACGTCTCTTCAAAACGAGGACCCAACACCACAGGATGGTTAGGAAAAAGAGGGGGGACGAGAAGGGGGGGAGGACGAGAGGATCTATCAGCCTCTCCAGGCACGCCAGAGGGTGACCCAAGGGCACGGTAGAACGGCCGCAGACTTTAGGAGGATGCTCACGATCCACCTCCTCCGCTTCGGGCCAGGCAGCCACGACCGTTGGATTTGCCCTCCTGGCTCAGCAAGGCGTGTGGATACGCGGATTCAGGGCCCAGGGTTATCCTGGCTATAGGCGGTGAAGTCGGATAACTTCGAAGACCATCAAACTACACACGCAAAGCAACTTCCCGATGTCCGTACGCAAAGAAACTTCCCGATGTCCGTGCGGGTTTCTTGGCGGCACTGGACCTGACGGCACCACTGGCGCCACCCCTGGCACGAACCGCCGTGCTTGGGACGGAGCGGGGGGAGGGAGACCCGCGCCGATGCAAGAGGTCTGTGCAGACTTCCGAATGTCTTGTAGGGAGCCCACAAAGGACGTACGCGCCCAGCTATGTACATGAGCACGGCCCCTCGATCCGCGAGACCGGCCGCATTATACTAACATTTGCGCAATGCGTGCTCTCGAAACCAGCGTGGATTCATGTACGTGTACGTCCTTCTGTCGCTCCTGATCTTGAGTGGCGTATGTTTAATGTTTGTTTGTGCCTTCGGTAGAGATGAGTCCTGGCATGGCCCCCACTGCTCATGTCTCAAACCAGACACACACTCCTGGAACGGCGCCTGCGCTGCAGGTCATAAGCCATGAGGCCAAAGCTCCGCGGCGTTCCATTGACCTTCCGCCACTTCTTACGCTACGAGCCCTGATGTCGTCGACGCGGGCCTGAGCGGTCAATGGCTTTTCCTAATTTCACTTCAGACCTGGACCCTTCTGGTAAAGGGATGCGACCGCCGAAACGAAGTCGGATAAGCCGTGGCCACTCGCTCCTGGCAGCCCAACAATATGAAAATAGCACCCACTACTGCAAAGTCGGACCCGCTCTGGAGCGCGTTTCTTTATGTTCGGCGATGACTGGCGTCATGGGGGGGGGGCGGGAGGGGGGGCATGACGTAACGCCCCCCCCCCCCGCCATGTGCCTCCGGCACCACAGCCGCGCCCGCGCGCACAACGCGAAGAGCGACGAGCGGCGAGCGACGACGACGACGACGAAGCGAGCAGCATGTAGGTGGCGATATGCCCCACTGCGCCTGTGTACACCACAACGCTCGCGTGCACCACAACGCACGTGTACACCACAGCGCCTGCGTACACCGCAACAACCGTGTGCAACGCAGCGCCTGTGTACACCACTGTGCTTGCGTACACTGCAGCGCCAGTGTATGTACATGTGTATACAGCAGCAACCATGCGCAACACAGCGCCTGTGTACACCACAATGCTTGCGTGCACCACGGCGCCTGTGCACGCCAGTGCCTGCGTGCAGGAATATGTTGATAATCGAATGCGACGTTCTTCCCTCCTCCTTCCTCCTCCACCTCCACCTCCTCCTACTCTTCCTCCTCCTCCTCCTCCTCCTCCTGCTCATCCTTACCCCCTGTCGTGTCGGGCCACTTGTTTCTCGCACGGCCAATTTAGCTGGAGCCTCCTGGACGCAGATGGGAGGAGTTAGGGTGATGCGGGCGGACTCAGGAAGACTCGTAGATTCCAGCGGGGCTCCTTTGTCCATAAGGATTCCTGTCGGTTGTTTTCTGTGGAATCCACAAGCGCTCCGTTTTGTCATACGGATTCCTTCTAACATTCTATGTACAACAGTGGTGTTTGTGTTGCACACGGTTGCTGTGGCGCACACAAGCGTCGTGGTGCACACAGGCACTGCAATGCACGCAGGCATTGTGGTGTATGCTGGTGCTGTGTTGCGCACGGCTGATGTGGTGTACGCAGGCGCTGTGGTGTACACAGCAACTGTTGTGCCCGCAGGCACGGTGGCACAAACTGAGGCTGTGTTGCACGCGGCTGCTGTGGTGTACATAGGCGGTGTGGTGTACACAGGCGCTGTGGTGCACGCAGGCACCGTGGTGTACACGAGCGTTATGGTGCAGATCGCCACCTACATGCTGGTGCTACCCGTCCTCACTCATTCCCAGGCATTCCCAAACGCCGCCGGCGCGAAACGTGACGTCATCGACCCCCTCTACCCCCCCAAATGATTGCCGTCATCGGCCCGGAATAAAAAACAGGCTCCAGCCGCGTCCGTGCGCACGACGGCGATGAGCGACCAGCGACGAGCCGCGAGCCACGACGACGACGACAACGGCAACGACAACGACAACGACGACGACGTCGACGACGACGACGACTGTGGACCTCACTCCTGTACGGATTCCTGCGCGGACACCTACGCGCATGGCGGCAGTGCCCGGACCGCACTGGGGGGGGGGAGCGTTACGTCATATGGGGGGGGAGCGGGGGCCATGATGCCCGTCATGCCACAAGCAGTAAGGAAACGGGCTCCTGGTTCACGGGCCGAGCAAGTCAGCGAGAAAAACGCATCGAAAAAAAGGTGAATGGTCTCCCAGGCCAGAACCCTTCATCTCGACATTCGCCGGCACAATCGTCGTCTTCGTCGTCGTCGTCGATCCCCTCCC